TCATTAATGGTTTCAGTGAAATTCATATTAATGATTTCAGTGATATATTGAGTACATGATATTGCTGCTTTTCGAATGTTTAAAGAGATTTAGAAATAATTTAAGTATGCAAGTGGACTCATCCGGTTCGCCGGTGAGGTATAAGTGGACCTATCTGGGACGCCGGTAGGGATTAAGTGGACTCATCCGGTACGCCGGTGAGATATAAGTGGACCTGCAGGGATTAAGTGGACCTATCTGGGATGCCGATAGGGATTAAGTGGACCCATCAAGACGCTGATGGGGTATATAGGTGACCTACTTGGGGCGCCAGTAGGGTATTTTGTGAAACCCTTTGAATTATGTACTGCCGTTAAAAGTGTTATAAGCATTTCAATTACTCGGATTATACTTAATTATGCATTTATTGAAAGCGAAACTGTTGATACATTTCTGTTAATAGATCTCATTTTGGAAAGTATTGATATCTTTCAATCATGATTATTTTTAGGATTATGATGATCACTTACTGAGCAGCCAAACTCATCAAACTATAGTAAACATTTTTCAGGATAACTGCGGATTCATTTTGAGTGCTAGTCAAGATCAACCTTGGAAGATACTGTTGTTGTGCTAGCTTTCTTTATTTACTTTGTAAGACCTCGCCACTGTAAATTTGTCATATCAATAGATGTATATATGTTTTGTCTGTCACATCTCATGAATAACAGTATTGTAAATTCTTGGGGTGTGACACTTCTTCTCCACCAGTTCATTCCATGGAAGTATGTGAGTGCGTGGTAGAGAGAAGTTGTTTGATCAAGTTTGATTAAAAGAAAATAATCCATCAATCTCCAGTAGGAGTCTTGGACTGTTGGAAATAGTTTTCTATTGAATAAGTTTTAATTCCTCAAGGTTACCTGGATTTGACTTAAGTAGAATTGATTTGTATCAAGATCCTTATTCCTTTTTAGTTAATCTTTTAAGGATGAAATGTCTCACGACCTTTTATAATGCGTGTGGTCTGCATAAGGTATCAATCTTAAACAATTAAAGTAAATTAAAGTGAGGCGCACCTCTAAACTACGCCAAAACATGCAGTTTCAGTGTTGGAAACCTTTTTGATGGCCTGAAAACATATTTATGCCTCTAATTATGAAACTTAAAAGTCAACAAAGAATGCATATTGAGCCAACCTACAAGTAATTGAAAATCTTGAAAATGGGCAGTATAGATAATGCGTCACAAGATGCATTATTCTTGTGGCCTATTTTTTATTTTTTTTAAAAAAAAATCCATACATATCGAAGTGGATATGATCTATTGGCGGGTTTTCCAGTCTCAAAACAATCTTTTATGGTAGATTTTTTAGGTGCACTTATTTGAATAGTATAAGGTTGACACCCTATATAAATTTTCTACTTTTTTTAAATTAGGATAATTCTAGCAGCATTTCGATGTCAATTGGGACTTCCAGTGTGTTTCGTAGTCTAGCAGATGCAATTATAAGCCTCTAACCATCCCAAAGCAACATACGGTTCCCCTACAATTTCCATCTCAATACACCATTAAGATTATGACATCCACTTGGTTCCCTAAACCAGCAATGGTCATAAAAGATCCAAGCACAATTTATTGTGCTCATCTTAAAATTGCCACATAACTGCGAGCTTAGGCTTATAGAATGCCTACAATAACAAAGTTTTAATTGTAAATCCAATCAACAACTTGTCCTACAAGGGACACTTTAGTCCCTTGTGTCCAAGAAACCACTCATTGTAAATTAACCAGTGGCTGATGTTCGTTAATCACCAAATGGAGAAAAAAATAAAATACAGTACCTGGTGCATTTTAGAAGGCCTCCAATAAATAAACGTATCGGGCACCTGGCATTTCCAATAAGAAAACAACTAAACAGAGTAAGTGATGAATCTCAAATTCAAAAGTCAGGTTAGATTTACATCAAGAAGATGTTTTAAATGTTTTATAGACGGTGGTGATTTATCGTAGATGTTAAGGAGAAGATGGTTATGGTGAGTTTGTTGTCAACAACAACCCATTCTAATGGCAGTTTTTATCTTGATGGCCTCTTAAAAAAAAAAAAAAATTGATATTCACTCCTTTTAAAAAAAGAAGAAGAAGGTTTTATGCCCTTTTTTGAGTTTTTCCTGGTTTAATCGTTTTTTTTTTTTACTTTATCTTTTCTAGTATTTTGCATTTTTTATTATAGCACGAGATTACTGTTACATAATGACATGACATTCTTTTAATTTTCCATAGCATTCAAGAAACCAAACATTGAGTAGTACCAATGTTCAATTTTTCCCTTTTTTCCTCAACATTATGGCTTTTCAATTGCAACATATTACTGTTACATGAGAACATTCCCTAGATCTGTCAAAAGTCCTGTGATTAGGAAACCAGGGCTCAAGCATTACCAGTGCAGGCTTAAGGAATATTGAAATCTTAATTAGGACTTTAATGAAGTTTAGATGAATAATAATGAGACCGAAAGGTTTGTTAAGAACTGTACCCTGTTTTTCATCTTTTATAAGCACTTGAAAGATGAAATATGGTGCTTCATCAAATATAAAGGAATTGTACTTCTATTTATTAGATGCTTTAAGAAAATGCCGTGCACATATTTATTAAGAATTTAACTAGGTTACTGCAAGTATAAATGGAACCGATGGGAAAATAAACAACTCATGAAGTGTTTAATCTCGAGTGACTTGTATGTGTACCAATTGAATGAATTCTCAGCAGGTATTTAAGTGCAGTTTAATCTCGAGTGACTTGTATGTATACCAATTGAATGAATTCTCAGCATGTATTTAAAGTGCATTAAACATGAAACTAGAACTACAATTTTTTTAAGGGCAAGCTTTTTATGCTTTTCCTAAACATAAAACTTATATACTTCCCCTTTTCCAACCTTCCATTCTGAATGGAGGGCTAAGATTGCCCAATCACAATGTCACGTTTCTACACTATTTTATTTTTAATGTTTTTTCTACGAACTATTTTAACACCAAATTTTGTGTGTCTAATCCTCTATTAAACTCGCACTAGCAAAATATATAAAAAACATATTCTCAATAAAATAAAATGACCAAAATACCCCCTGAAAGTTTCAAAGGGTATTTTGGTTATTATATTTTATCGAAATATTATTTTTAATATTTTTTATAGGTGTGGCGCATACCAAATTTTATATTCATACAATTTGTATAAAAACAACTAAAAATAAAATACTTCGAGACGTCGGATCTAAGATCAAATGGCAAGTGGCTCTCTTGATCAAAATTGGACGGTTGGATGGTGGGGAAGCATAAATCTTCTATGCAGTATGAGAAGTATAGAAACCATTCATTTTTCTTAATTTTTAAATATGCGAAACAAGCAAAGAAATATTGACTAGTTAATTATCATTAGTTGGTATAGATAAATAGACTTCCTTTTTGGAGGAGAGAAGCGGGATTCCTAAATTGTCCGGTTTAGGGGGGAATATTTGCTTATTTAAAATTTATATATTTATAGGCTTAATCAAAGCGGACACTTTTTCACATAAAATTCCTTAAATATGATTAGGGAAATATGCCCACAAATTTTTCTTCTGGATCTCTTTCATTCTCTCTCTGTGGTTTTAGGAAGTATTTAGTTTTCTATTGATGTATTATTCGACTAACGCTCGGGAACTATTTCTTTTAGCTGTCGGATGTGAACTTGGACAAATAGACTCATACAAATTATGAGAAATTTTATCCCAAATTTCACCACAACTAATATTACACACTCAATGACCCAAATTCACATTTATGGGCTAGGATTATTGGGTGCAATTTATATAGGCACACACCTTAAACAATAAAATAGAAAGTGCACCTCCAACTTTTGTCGTAAGATATAGTTTCCATGTTGAAATGGCCTGAAAATCCATTTCCACTCTCAACTAGGATATTAAAAATTTTCAAAATGGAGTAAACTTAGCAGGAACTTTTGAAAATAGAAAACCCATAAAAATGTACTAAAAGACGTAGTATTTTTAAGATATGACATTTTTCTTCATATCCAATATCTCGAAGTCAAGATGATCAATTGAAACCAACATTTTTCCGATAAAAATATATATTTCGAAATGCACCTCACTTTTATAATATTAAAATGAGTTAACAATTTATACACAAGTTCTTCAAAATAAGTAACACGATGCCTTTTCCAACATGTTCAAACTTCAAAATGGTGCAAAAGTTGTTCATTAAAATTTTTAACACAAAAGTAGGCAGCTCGGAGAAAGGGGAGTGGGGACCACAAGCCAACCATCTATTCACAGCCCCTGCACAGAGAAGGAACCAATGGGAAGACGAGAAAGGAATAATGACACCTGACGTTCTCCTATGTTAATATTTTTAAAAGTATTATTCCTTCCTCCAATTGTACACTATACTTTAAAATAACGGAAAATAGTAATGATAGGGCTGCAGCCCTATCCAAATAAGTAAAGCCTCGTCTCGTAACTCATCGAAATTTACGATTCAAGCGTTAGAAAACCTTTACAGCCATATTGAATATTATGGCTGTGAATAAGAATTAGGATTTTAAGCTCTAAAAATAATGTATATTATAACAAATTATCTAGACCGTCTTTTTCACCCTAAAAATAAAAGATATAGTTTCTATAAAGTTGCAACATTAAACAATCCAATTAAGGCGCATTTCCAAAGTTTATCATAACATGTAATTTTTGAGTAAATATCTTTTAGAATTATCTGAAAAAATCTATTTTCATAACTAATTATAAAATTTTTAAACTCCAAAAATCAAGTAGATCTATAAACATATGAAAAACTTGAACATGGACGGTCTAGATAATATGTTGTTGTAAGATGCACTATTTTTGGGACTAAATTTTTTATTTATATTCACATATCTCGATGATAAATCAAAGAGTTTTTAACATTAAAACAAAATATTTTGACAGATTGTTGAGGTGCATATGTACTTTTACATTTTAAGGTTGCACACGACCTTATATAAACTTTTTTTAGAAATAAATATTCATAGATTTGCAATATCTAGATTATTTATTGAATTTCAAATTTGATTGGTGGTATTGAAAATTGATTTTATATACACCGTGGAGATTTCCATCGCGGTGATGCTTTATTTTGATTTCATAAAGCCTGCTCTGTAGAAACTTCAACTTTAAATAATTATTATATAATAAACTAAAAGCTCGTGGAAACGGCAGGGGTAACCGCCCTCCGTCGCATACATTTGCGTTTCATTTGGGGTAAATTTGGAATAGGAGGAATTTCATTTAAGGAGCACCTCCGTCGCGCCCCGTCATTCATTCTGGAGAGAGAGAGAGAGAGAGAGAGAGGAGGGAGATCGCCGACGGCGCGACGGCCCCGCCCACCCGAGGAGGAGGGACACCTACCAACAAACCGAAAGAGGTATTTGTCGTCTTCTTCTTCCTTCCGTCCGTTAGAGAGTAGTAGATAGAGAGAGAGAGAGAGAGAGAGAGAGAGAGAGACGTACGGACCGTCGACGTACTATTACGTTATTAACTTCCTACCTTACCTACGTAACAACGTAACAACCCGACCGACGTA